TCTCTTTTTCTTGACAGCTTTTACTTTTATCTGAATTACTAAAATGACCTTTCCCCAATCCTATGACTCCTGACTGCAAAATAATGGTAGAAGGACACTTAGGCCTTTGTCACTGCTATCTTCGGGAACTAGTCCATGTCTAGGGTCACAGTAGAAGCAGCCACCTTGCTACTACCTTGGCACAGCCTGATCCCTGTGCCCCCCCAGGCATGTTCTCTTTTTAGGCAAGAGTGGACACCCAATCCCGCGATGGGTACATAATTCTCTGCACAGAAGGAGAATGCAGAGTGGCTGTCGGACATCTCTTGTTACTGCCCGCCCAGCATCTATTTCTCATTTTCCTGGTAGCAGCAGTTCTCTTCTGCTGATGGTCAGGAGCCCAGCTTCTGGAGCGTAAGTTCTGTGTCAGCTCTCAGCTGTGCCATTTATTAGCTGTGAGGGCTTGGGTGAAATGCATCAACCTGTTTCTCAGCGTCCCCATCTATAAAATAGGGATCATGTGATGCTTTTATTAGTTAACAAAAAAGATAACCTGAGATTAAAATGAGTTAACTTATCTACTTAGAACCGCTCCCAACAAACACATTTTGTAGAGCATTTGCTTATACTGTTATGTGTTGGACTAGGTCTCTCCTTAGACCTCACTACATGATCAGGCACATGTCCCAAGCCCAGCCAATATGAACACATTCCTTCCACCTGGCTGCACGTAGGTGAAACGTGAACATATAACCAAAGCTGGGTTTAACCAGAGCCCATTCTGAGACTTGGGACTCTCAGAGAACCAGCCTGTTGGGGAAGGATAGAAATTTAGAGGTCCTATTGGTCATCTCGTCCCAAGAGAACAAAACTGGCAGAAAATGTGGCCAGCGAAAGCGCTGGTGGAGAGAGTCTGCCTTGTGGTGATGTTTGGCCACCTGGAGCCAGCTGGCCTGGAATTTTCTGTTATTTGAGGCATTAAATTCCCTAATTAGCTTAAGCTGTCATTTGAGCAGCTTTTCTTTTTTTTCAGTCTCCTGAAGAAGAAAAACAATCCTGGCTGGGCGCAGTGGCTCATGCCCTTAATCTCAGCACTTTGGGAGGCCGAGGCGGGCAGACCATGAGGTCAGGAGTTCAAGACCAGCCTGACCAACATGGTAAATCCCCATCTCTACTAAAAATACAAAAATGAGCCAGGCATGGTGGCAGGCGCCCGTAATCCCAGCTACTCAGGAGGCTGAGTCAGGAGAATCGCTCGAACCCGCAAGGCAGAGAATACAGTAAGCCGAGATTGTGCCACTGCACTCCAGCCTATGACAGAGCAATACTCCATCTCAAAAAAAAAAAAAAAGAAAGAAAAAAGAAATGCAATCCTAATACATTCAGTCTGGGCTGGTCCCTTGAACAAAGGAGATATCAAGCCATGCCTTTATGGAGCCATCTTCACTATGCAATGTATGTGGAGAAATACTACAGAGAGCAGACACCAGCAGAAGCTTGGGGCTCAGCTGCCAGTTGCCAGGCTTACTGATTCTTCTCTTGTCCTGAGCCCTTCCTGGCTGCACCTGGGCTCTTAGGTCCCATGGGATCCCAGGGTAACCCAATAAGACATTTCCGTTCCTGCTTAAGCTGTCTCAAGTGCCTGTAACATACAACCAGAGTCCCAGTGAGAAGGATGATTTTTGTTTTTAGGAAGTAATGTAAACAGAATATAGACATTCTGTAAGCTCCTCAGACCTGATTTCATAATGGCTAACTTCTATCATATTTGCCAAACAACCTGATCCTAACAGATGGCTTGTATTTGAAAGACGTCAGTCCCCTCACCACACTTGTTCTCTGCAAGTAACTTGAGTTACCACAAACATTGCTACATGTTTGTGAAATGGAAGCATGATCTCTGACTCCATCTTTCTGTCCATTCCAGGATGAAGAGGCAGACCCTGCCTGCTCCTGTCGCCATCACCACCACCAGCAGTGGCCCTGGGTGTTCTGTCTCCTCCCCAGGCCTGAGGAGGTTTGCCCCTCAACTTTTTCCCACCACCATCTTTTTGCCTTTACACATGCACAGGAATCCCCTGTTATCTGAAGGCTCGAACTCTTGGTTCTCTCCACCATGCTGTCTTGTTCCTTCCATCACAATCAGGATTTTTTTTTTTTTTTTTTTTT